GGGGGGAGGCCTTCCCTGACGCCCCTATTCTGGGTGAGCGCTATAATGGAGTACACTTATGTGTAGATTTCCTCATCCTTGAAGTTCAAGTCTCTTTCTTCTGTGGGTGCAGACCTCATCATCCTGTTCAAGTCCCCTTCTTCTGTGTTTGACTGGAAGCTGTGTTAGGGCTTGCTCACCATTGACTCTGGTCCTTGGCACAGAGTAATTGTGCGGTATGTGGTGGTTGAATAAGTAAAAGCTATAATTTACCAGGTGATGGTATGAAAGAAAGCACAGAAGTAATCTCCTTTAGGATCTGGGTCATACCTTGTTGGAAAACTTGCAACATAGTGATAAGATTTGGTTCAATCCCTAAACATCCATTTGTGTAATTCTTGACATTTGTAAGCCTCTCCATACATCACACGGTGATGATTAAGTATTATGCAGTAAATCCACATGCCTTAATTTTCTTTTATGATCAGTTTCTCACTAAAATAGATAAATAGAGATAAATAAATAGATAAATAATGATGCCTAGCATATGAATCTTAAAGGTTTGATTAAGAAAGTTCTCTGGTCTCAGGTGTTAGTAACAATGTCTTAGCTAAGAAAGGAAACCAGTCTTAATTTCAAGGTGACAAGGCTCAAGGGAATGTTACCTCACCTCTTTTACTGTTGTAAGTAATTCTTTCACCTCCGGCTTTTGAGATTTCTTACTTTCATGGATTGCTCTAGTGGGGATGAAATGTCAGAACTAACCTAGATGAAAACTTTATGACAGTGTTTTTCTCAAAAACCGTTTAAAAGAAATTTCCTTCATTAAATATGGCTTGGAAAAAAATGTCAGGTGAAAACTTCTCCCTGAAACAAGACTCTCTGCATATAAATCATGGTTACTTTGCTCAGTTTTTCTGCTGAGGAGGGCAAGCTCCTTGAACCTGAGGGGACGTTTACTCCTGGTACTGTGGTCACCGGGTTATCTGCTGTTGCCTGGGCTGTGATGATCTGTCTAACTGATCCTCGACGTGCTTGCTTCACAAGAAAGTTCTGTGTTCATCGGACAGCAAACATGTATGGCCTGGCCTTTATGTGCAGAGTGTGCCAGGAGCAGCTCAGGCAGGATCCGGGTTCCTGGGGGAAACTGCCCGCCACCCAGTCCACCCCTGTGCCCCTGCTGTGTGTCTCAGGGATGTGGTGCTATTCAAGGGGTGGAGTGAGGAATCTATCTTTCACATCAGCTAAAAGGAGCTGAAGTTTTGGTAGCTTGTTCCCAGGCACATTGGCCCAACTCTATGCTGAGTTGGCTGTGCGGGAGCTGCCGTGGGGAAGCCTGACAGATCAGGCTCTGGAGGCCGTTCTGCCTATTTTCTGTCCCAAATAGGACTTCAAGTGGGGAAGCGCATGACAGCTGTCTGGGAACAGATCACCGGGGACGGGCTTGTCCTGGAAAGTTTGCATCACTCCTCCCTTTCCCCCGCTTCTGCCCCATGTATGCCCATTTCTTGGGTTCCAGATTCTTAGTATTTGGGGGGTATGGTTAAAAGAGGATGCAAGAGAAAGCTACTGTGGGGTTTGAGCAAATTGTATTTTAGCTAGAAGTAGAGATTTGTTCAGCACAAGTCCATTTGGCCTTCAAGGAAGCACCTTCAAGGGTCACCTCTCTGGGTGGGGTGAAGCCCAGTGTTGGTCGATCTCCAGGGCTTTGCTCCAGGCATGTGCCTCTCCTGGGGAGAAGGCTGTTAGAACAACTTTCATCTTGCTTATCTTTGCTGATGTTAGTGGAGGTGTTTTTCAGCTCTGAGTAATCAAACAGCAGATGGCTTTCCAGATATTTGTTAAATCTCCAATTGTACAAGGCACTATTATTAAGGCATTAGAGTAAAAATTAATATAAGAAACAGTTAATCTTTTGTTAAATGTTTATTGAGTGCTTCGCTAGGTGTCAGGCATTGGGCAAGGTGCTGGATTTTTGAAGTCATGATGTGTTCATGAACATCAATTCCATCTTAAAGTCTTGGCCAATCACTGAATCTAAACAGAGTGGTCATTCAGCTCCACAGCTGATGGAGGAGACTTCATAGGCTTTGAGAAGCG